TGAGATATATTTATATTGCATCACACATGTAGCTAGCACCGCTAACCTACAGTTTCACACAGTCGTCGTCCCATAAGATTCTCGCAGTAAAACACACGGCGGCTCTTTGCTCTTCTGTTCAATGCCTTGTCGTGGCCGTCTTCTTTATCGGTTCATTGGATGCAGCCATTAGGAAAGCTCCCAGACACTCGGGAACTACAGTGGACGTTTGCGTTCACGTTTTACGTTCTCTGCGTATCCATGCGCATGTGGTTATCACTGTAGTGTTGAGTAAATCTTTGATGCGAATGCCGAAAACAGTTGTAGATAGCGTAAGTTATTGCTCAGGAAGTAGAATTTGAAATAACGACGGCAAATCGATTGATTCATGTTTTCTTCTTATCACTGAACATATCTTATTGTTTCGATTGATTCATGTTTTCTTCTTATCACTCAACATGTCTTATTGTTTGCAAATGAACTGGGGGAGAGATGGACCAAGTGGTTAGAGCGCGAATTTACTGACATGAAGGTCCGTGGTTCGAACCCGACCTCTGCCTCTCGACTTCCCCTGTCTAGGCTTGGGCAACTTGGCAGTATCTCAGCCCTCGTGCAAACTTCGGGTGGCACCGGAAGGGTGCTACAGCCTAACGGTTCGTCAACAAACGCTCTGTATCTGATCTAGACTGCTGATTAGATGAGAGGATGCTCTTTCAGGAGAAAACTAAAAGAGTTTAAAAACGAGGGGGAAATGACGACTATTGGAATTCGAATAAACACAATGCTAGGATGGAAACAGAAAAGTTAGATTGGTGAGGTTATTATACAGAGACAGCAAAAAGTCCAACTTGAGAATTAGCCCATCGTCTCGTCTAATCGAAGCATACTGTCATCCGAATGTACCACTCGTTATCCATTCCTTCTAATCTCATCATGGTTACCGGCTAATATCCTATTTCAGACTCCACAAAAATCATGTTTTTCTTCATTAAATTTACCATGAGTTGAATTTACAGATACGCATTAAACTGCGTCGATAGGTGTTTATTGTCAACCTCAGTAACAGGCTTCGTTTTTCGTATCTCTGAGCATGTGGAATTCAAACTGTGGGGTGCTACGCTGCAATATAGTGAATCTGCTCAGACAAGCATTCATTATTTGCTTCGTCTTGGATAGTAAAGCATTCGATAATTCCCTCTATGCAACTTACTTTGTAACAGATAAAATCAGAAATCCCATCCGCTCCAGCGTCTGATGTTCTACACACTCGGGAATCATATGTTCTGCGCTGTTGGCAACCACACTGTCCCCTATTCATCCGTTCAAACTGGGCATAATCGTGTCCGTCAAAAAACCTGAAGGGATAGGAAAATAAAAATAGCTAGAAAGCAGGAACATTTATCTCTTTTATCCCGACATCTTTTGTAACTTTTCGTGATATGCACCCACGCTTTCAAACCGCATGCAACACGTCTATATTCCCACAAACCAACTACCCTTGAAACGATACATCTCACTATTCAGTGTTAACCTTTGCAACGTTCTTTGTTAGTTGGCCGCTGAGCCATTGGGATCGAAATTCCCTCATTTTTAAATATCTGCGGGCCCACTTTTCTCCCAACGAAAACTGAAAAATTCCCATTCGAAAGTTTGCGGATGGATGCTCAAGCTAAAATCAGAATATTTTCCCATGCTTTATACAAAGTTCCCAGGATTTCCCACATTCATGCCTTGAAGAAGTCATTTGAGGGGCATTCTTCTATCCTCAGTGTAGTCACCGACACAAAATTCTTACAATCTTGTTGAAAATGTCTGCTGAAACCGGCGACTCTTTGATTTCTTGAGTAACGTAGCTTTCCACATGTTCTAAAAAGGACAGCTGCAAACTAGATGAAGCCTTTATGCGTAATGAAGCATTTGTTGGCTGAACAAGCGATCCGGTGTTCCCTACTTGATTTCCAGATGACCGTTTATTGCAAGAGATAAGCTACTAGATTATCCGACCGAAAAGTTGCTTGGGCTACCTTGTGAGAACTTGTGGAGAATTCGGTAACTAAGACGAAGATAAGGCTGACAGACCTTGCGGTTTATTCATAATCGATGATCACAAAACCGAAAGGGAGCTGGAGAAACATTTTTCGATCTATTGTTTAGCCAACGCAGGTAACTTTACCGCCAAACTTTACTACATCTCTTCAGGCGGCGTCTGTTTTACCACACAAGATGACCAACGGCTTGGTCTCGAACAATGTGATTAGGTCCACAATGATGTTAACACACTGCGGGTGTTGGCAAAAATGCATGCGCACTGAAGAGCTATGTATCGTAGGAGTTTATAATGAAAGCCTTGAGTCAATAAGCAGAATCTGAGGACAGAGCGGGAATTACTTGCGTCAACCAACATGGAACACCTCGTTGAATGTACATTGAGGAATCTCCATCTGCAGTCTGGTATTCAATGTTTGTGACACCTGTCTTCTTTTTGTCAACTCTTCCGCAGAAAATCGATTACGTAAGTCCTGTGCAGAGTGGTTGAGACGGCAAACGTTCTTCTTTTCTTCTCTCTGGATGTCTAATATCTGAGAATTCCTCTGTGTCATAACCAGTTCCTCAAACATGGGACGGCTCAATGCGACATGCTGCGTTCATCATTTCTGTGCTTAATCGGCCTAATAACACTTGATCTGATGTTGCAAATCGAGTGATGTTGTGCAATCCACCGTCGGCAGCGTATAGCCGACGAATGTACAATCCACAAGAGGATAGAACACTTTGAGTTTCGCAACTAATAAGGACCTACACGGTAAAATTCATAGGTGGGAGAAAAATGTGCGCGTATCATTCTGATTTGCATGACTTATCATCGTCGTCATCGACAGCATGACATCATTGTTCAACACCGATGATTCACTGCCCTACAACCATGACTTATTTGAAAGCCTTATTGTAAAGAAAAGAGTAAAGGTGGACCGGGGAGGAACTTAGTGCTAGCTTAACACAATTATTCCGAGGTGCCTACACCTCCAGACATTCACTCAGGCAATCTG